ACCAGTTCAGACCTTCTTCTTTTTGCAAATTTCGCTTATCCATAACGACTTCAAGTCAATTCGTAAAAATAGCGTTCACAGTGTAGTTAGTTGTTAATGAAATGATCTGCAGTTAAACTTTAAATGTCCCAAATTTTAAAAACTATCAATTCACTCATCTTTCATATCACAAGATCAATCTTTTTAACACCATTTATAAATCTTGTCTATAGTCAAAAAAGCTACGATAAAGCAATAGTGGGCGCTCATGTTCGTTCCCAACAAGTACTGTAGCTGGGTTAAAGTGCACTCTCTAAACTAATTCTTATCAAAACAGTGCAGTGTAATCAGTGAACCAGCAGCAACATATCTATAGCAACAAGCGCTTACCAATTTCTTAACAAAGTATAACGACATATTATTTGTTAGAACTGTAGGATCCGAAAGCATTGTATGTACAGTGAACTAGCTGACAAATAAAAAAAAGACAAGAAGACTGAAAAACGAGACATTATTATGGTGTAGCTATAAATCGCTTCCCCTAAACGACTTTTAGCAACAGCTTTGCAAATACATAACATCACAGTATACCTTATCGGGTTTTCTTTATCTTTTCTGAAATTTCGCGATATCAAATTTCAGTCTAATTAAAGAAAAATTTCCAGTTAAATTGTTTCAAAAGAGGATAACCGAAATAAAAATGCGAATATTTTTATTTTTCTCGCTCTCTTACTTGAGTCTAGTCAAAAAGAGCGTAAAGCATTAGAAAAGAAAACGCTCCTTTACAAAATATACTGCTAATTAAAAAAAACCCTGCAGCGAACAAAAGAGCACAGAGAAAAACACCCAATACCTACGAAAAATCATCACAACGTAATACACTACTTTCCCTTTATCGCAGCCAAATCTTTGTCAACACAGGTGGACGACAACTCAAATTCTACTAATTTCAGAAACCATTTTCTTGACCGTAGTTTCTTCAACAGTAAAACATTTCAAATGTAGTGGCTTCATAAAGCGATAATTGATCACAATAATTTTTTTGGCAAATTAAAATTCTAACATTGTAACAACTGCTATCTAAACGGTAAAATTTTCTGGATAGAAAATCCTGACTGAGACGTTAAAGCAAAATCCTTAAGAGCAACGGTAAATTGAAGACGTAGTCTATGCAGAGAAATGTACATAAGAAATGAAAATTTTAGGGTTGACGGTAAGAAAAAGAAATTGTCTCAAATTCTGCTAGAAAATTTCAACAGGTTCTTGTCTAAAAACTGTACTCATGTAATAAAGCAATTTCAAAAGCTCGCAAACTGCGGTACTGCTTTAAGACCGGCTTTAGACTGTACGTTCCTCTCTCGTTCCGCTGTACCATTATAATATTGTCTTACTATTCTCAAACTTCCGAAGTGCTAATATATAATTACAGCATGTGTTGGTAGACTAAAAACTCTAGTGTGTTGCGTTATTTATAAAGTAAGGAGAAAGTATAAGCTTCTTAATAACCATACTTCAATAGACATACTTTTTTTTCTGTTACTACAGCGAAGGTGACAGAAAGAAAAATTGCTTAGAAAACACAAATTTACACTGAAAAACTGCTGCTAGAGTGACTACACTTTACAAGTCTTTTTTTTTTTTTTTTTTTAACTGGTATATAACCTTAAAACTTCCTAAAAGAATAAACATCGTTTGTCTTTTAGCATTCGGTGACTGGTAACACAAAAAAATTTTTCAAAAAGGAAGTAAATTAAGAAATTAATAAACTGATTCTTGGACACAAATCGAGCATTAACAGTTAGCATTAATTCGTAATCAAACAAGAGGAAATTTATTAATTTTGCTATACTCTTGAATTAAGTAAAAAAGACTTGTTATTATTTGTGCACCAAGTAAGTATCTTAATGACTGAACAATAAGAAAACTGCAGACACTTCTAGATATCATTTGAAACAAAAAAAGTGAAATAATAAAGATGTTGAAAAAACAGCTAGAAATCAATCAACAATACTTAGAAAGTTAAAAAGTTAAAAAACATTTTTGAAAAGAAAACTGCATCGTAATATCGTCGAAGAAAAATTTTGTATGCAAATTAAAGAGTACAGTATTTGTGGAATAAACGTCGACTTGCATAGTGACTCGTGGATCATTGAATAATTAGACTATGCAGGCTAGCAATCAAATAGACAACAACTTATATCACTGATTTAAGTACATACAATAGAAACGTAGATATTTCCACCGATCACAGATACACCAGAATTGCTACTGTTGTTACCACTACCATTGCTGCTGCTATTTCAATTGAACGGGTACAGCAGACTGGTGGTATTGCATCAAAAGTGTCATCAAAAACAGAGACCTGTAATCTTGCAAAAATGACTAAATTTTGGTCTTTGGACCACCCTAATGTCGACTATTATCCTAAGCTAGATCACCCGCCAAGAAAAAACAACAACAAAATTATATTGATAACCTTAGGTAAATCTTAAACTGAAAAAAAAAAGAAAATTAGGTTTAAACTAAATACAGTTTAAATGTGCTAACTTTCCCCGCTAATTACTACCGCTAATAATAATGTTCACCTTTTCGTTGACACTTATTTACATCAAAAACATAAATAGATTTTGGACACAGGCAAAAACATCATTGACATCATCGACATATTAAGGTGACAATTATGTGTTTAAACAGATATCAAGAAAAAAAAAAAAAAAAAAAA